AATCTGGTTGTTTTAGGTCTTTCTTTCTGAAATGGGCTCAAATGGGGTTTAAGTTTGAAATGAACATAAACCCCACCTTTTCCCCTCTTATTTTTATAAAACAGCTAAAAAATGCCCCTCAATGAGGGGTATTTCTGCTCCTGGGCGGCCGCCGAGGGCTGGGTGTTGGACGCCTAGGCAGCCGCTACCTATTTTTACCGCCTAGGCTTGGCCAAGGCACTCAGGCCTTCTGGACCACTTAGGTGCTAGGCAGTCCGCCTTTGGGAACAATGGCTCCTAGTATGCCACTGACAGTAGGAATTCTAGGTTTATTTTCCTCAACTATAAGAGCAAAACAATATCAAATAAGAAAGGTATGAAAATATATGTCGAGTCACATACTAAAAAACACCTTAAAAACTTGTTGGAAATTTATAAATCCAATTATCTTCAAGCACAAAACAATAAATAGCGCGCACAATAATATCTCAATTTACTATACGTAGAACACTTATCTGTTTAAAAGCCAATGCATGAATCTCTTTCCACTATAACTCACGATGAAACCCAAAACAAGGCATTCACGACTTTTGCAACACTTGCAGCATGTGACACTTGTTACTCTCAGCTTTTCACTTCCAAGACATGAACCTTTTAATGGCACGAACATGCACCACACATAGAGGCCACCATGTTGGCCTCTCTCACACACACACAGAGGAATACTTCTTGACAAAATCAGTATTAACATGATTAGGGCTTTCCCTCTCTCTCTTTTTTTTAAAAGAAAAGGTGCCTATTTCTTTAAAGACGAGAGAAGAAGACAATAAGCAAATCTATGCTCTGATATCATGTGAACAGGACTCGTGAACAGTATCATGAATAGTATTGTGAACAGTGTCAACCCTAAGGGGCCGTTTGGGTACCTGAAAATCTATTACATGATAATAGATTATAAGGAAATATGACATTTTCACTATTTGGGTACACTTTAATAGTAAGGAAATGGAAAGAGATTACCAGAGATTTCCCCAAAAATCATAAAATCGATTAAGCGTGGTGAGGAGTGAAAAATTTATTACGCGCTTGACAGGTAATCTTTAGAAATCTTTCACGCGCGTCTCTCTCTGCCCTATCCCCAACTTAAAAAAATGCCAATTTGCCATTTTTACTCTCTCAAACTCGTCTGAGGAACTTACCAAAGCGACGTTTTTCTCTTCACTGGTTTGCATAGGTGGTGCCTCCCTCTCTAAGCATGCCCCCTCTCTCTCGAGCCATAATAACTGGTTTGCATAAGATGCTCCCTCCCTCCCTCCCTCTTTAAGCTTGCCCCCTCTCTCTTTTGAGCCCTCTCTAAGCCCCCCTCCTCTCTCTCTTGAGGCCTAATAACTGGTTTGCATAAGGTCCTCCCTCTCTCTTGAGCCCTAATAACTGGTTTGCATAAGGTCCTCCCCCTCTCTCCCTCTCTCTTGAACCTCAATAACTGGTTTGCATAAGGTCCTCCTCCTCTCTTTAACCAGTTATTTTGGTGTGGATAAGCCTTGCCTCTTTAGTGTCCTCCAATGCCTCAACATTTTCTACTGCAATTACCAAACCTTCTAGTTTTCTAATCAAACCTCAAAATTTTCTATTGCAATTACCAAACCTTATAGTTTACTCATCAAACTTCTTCCTATTTTTTAACTTGTACCATAAAGATTTTGAATTTGGTAACATAAATTTATTGCTTATTTGAAATTATATAGAGAAATTTGAAAGACTTCTATAAAAAATAAATAAAGATAAGGCTTATCACAATAAAAATATGTTATTTCAATCATATTATTCCAAGGACTTATCATGTTGAAACCAAAGTCTTATCATGTTAGAAGACATGTGATTCCATGTAAGTGCCAAAGACATGCAAAATAAGTAGGAAATGGTGTGATGAGGACTTTAGAATGATACAAGGTATTGTTAAAAAATATTTTTGGAATGGTGATGATGTTATTATTAGAAAATCTTTTTGGAATGGTATGATGATAACTTTAATTCCTCATTTTAGTGGAATTTTGTGACAAAAAAGAAAGAAATGATAGTTTATAGGCACGTGCTGGTAAAATGTTGGTAATGCATTTCTCATATTTCTTCCAGACACAGCCAAACAGTAGCAATGTATTTTTCAGGTTCTAAATACTACCCTAACAGTAACAATCCATTTGCTGATAATGTATTACGCTGTAATGTATTACGCCAGTAATATATTTCACAGACAATATATTTCCAGGTATCCAAACGGCCCCTAAATGAAAATAAGTATCCTAAAGTATAAAAAAAAAAAGGAAATGCCCCAAAACATAAAACGTTATTCTTTAACAGCTTGAAATACCGAAAATAACGTTTTTGACTTTCAACATTTGTCGTGGTTTATTTTTTAATAGATCTAACAACTTCATAGAATTCTAACTTCTTGCATTTTATGATGCATGTCGTGCACTAGTTGTGGAACTTAGTGTTTTAAAAACTGATTGGTGGACTGGATCGTCCACCCACCTATTTTGATACAGATCGGCAGAATCAATGATCTGGATCAGCTGGATCGGCTATTCGGCAATTTCTTTTTTTAAAGGCGAAAGAAGAATAAAAACGTAAAGATATAATATGTAACATATACTTCTTGACAAACACATAGATTGTCGATTGGCTAGATCTTGCACCTTGAAGGTGCAATCTTTGGGGTTTGAATCCTCTCCTCTTTAAGTCCTAAAAGGAAAAAATCACACACATAGATTTTAAAAAAAGAGCATGTGGTGGAGCTCAAAACCTTGAACCTTGAGACTACGGTTTGGGCATGCTAACCATTAGGCCCCTTTAGCATTTTTGTTTAATATTTTCTATCTTATGACATATATTGTTTAAAACATTTGTCCAACCCAAGAACTGGTTCATTCTTGGGTAATTTGCAACTGAATTGGCAACCTTTTAAACACTGGTGGAACTCATATAGTCACTAAGAATGGGAGTTGTATTCTTGGAACCTTAGCTACAAGTTGCAACTGAGCCATTTGTTGACCATTACTGCTCGGAATATAGAAACTCATTTCATTTATTTCACTATGGTTTTGTTATATAATCTATGTTAAAATCGAGCCTCTTGATTACCTACTTAAAATTTGTTGAGCCCCAATTATTCATTGCGTGTTGCTGTAGGTTGGTTTGTTGTTAGCTTAATGGGTTGGATGGTTGCAATGTTGAAAAGTTCAGCACCTGGCTGGCCACCTAGCTGGCCAAGCTTTAAAAACGCCTAGGTGTGCCCTAGGCGGACATTTTCCTGGGCTTCCGCCTAAGAACTCGCCTTAGGGCCTGCAGTTAGATGCGACTTGGCCCAAGGAAGAAAAATGCCCTTGGCTAAGGTAAAAAAAGTCCTTTCCCCCTGTGAAAAGGGGGGAAAAGGGTTTTGGTGGTGCATTCTAGCCCCCCATATACGCCTTGTGCCATCCCTTAAAGAAAACAAAAAAAAAAAAAGGAAAGAAAAAATGTACCCTTAAGAATAAAAAAATAGTTAGGCCCATACAAATGGTTAGGGCCCTTCTCTCTCTCTCGCTCACAGGACCATGTGCTCTCTCTATATATAAGAAGAAGAAGAAAAAGTAGATGGCCTCCAAGTGTTTAGTGAGAGGCCTCTCTCTCTCTCTCACTCACACACAAATACACGTATGGACCCAAATGCTCTCTCTCTCTCTTTACATATAATAGGAAATAAAAGAAGAAGATGACTACCAAGTGTTCAATGTGAGATCTCTCTCACACACACGAACCCATATGCTCTCTTTTACATTCTATATACTAGACAAGAGAAAAGAAGATGAACTTCAAGTATTTGATGTCAGCCCTCATACACACACAAATATTATATATATATATATATATATATATAAGAAGATGAACTTATACTAGGTTGTTCCCTGTAAGCAACACGTTGTATCGAAACTTGAGTACAGTGAGAAATGACCAAGGGATAGCTAGGGCATTCCTCAGAAACAACGTGCCGCAGCAACACTTGGTTGCTGTGAAAAATTGGCTAGGGTTCCTGCGACACTTTGGACAAGCGCGGGTACAGAACTTAGTCCAAGAGAATATGGTCTAAGAAGGGTGAAGACCTTAAACTTTCCCTTAGCCCGTCCCAAGCCCGGGTAGGCAATGTAAAACTTTGCCAAAACTTTTCATGAATTTTGGATCTATGTTATGGAATTCCAGGATTCATGTAGCCAACCCTAAATAGTTGGGAAAAGGCTCTAATGATATAGACACACACACATACACACACACACACACATATATATATATATATATATACATATAACAAACTCCCTCT